CAGGAAACGGCGTCAGTCAGCAGCAGGAAACGGCGTCAGTCAGCAGCAGGAAACGGCGTCAGTCAGCAGCAGACGCCCGGTTCGGGGGTGGGACGGAGAGCTCTGACAAGCATGGGTGATCTCAGTGCCCCCACCCCACAGTGGAGAGAAAGCACTATAAGAAAGATGGTACCCCCATTCTTTTTGAGTTTTGATTCATTTCCTAAGGACAAAGTTCCAGATGCTCCATTACAAATGTGCCTCGAGTCTGGCTTCAATCCAGCACGGCAGGACTCCCTTATGCTCAAGACCAAATCCCCATCACTGCCCAAGTCTCAGAAACAAAATCTCCCTCCCTGGGGAAACGACATGAGGGCCAGCTCTCTTCCTCACCAACCCCTAGCATTCTTGTCAGGCTCCTCATGGAATCCAAAAGACGGCAAACAGGAAGCGATCAATATGAGACTTCCTATGTGTACAACTGCAAGAATGTGACCCCAAGGCAAAGCAGTCTGCTCTACAAATGCCATGGGCGATTGTCTGATGCCAGAGGGCACTGTCAGGACTCGGAGCCCACATGTGCGAAGCACCTGCTGATACCACCAAGAGGGTGAGGAGGCTGACCCCCAGAAGAGGCAATCTTAGCTGCCCCTCCATCTAGTCCCAGACCAGGAATGTCCCACTTTGCTTAAAGAGGACTTGTGGGAAGACATAGTACTGTGAGGGGTCAGGAGCATCAGACTGAGTCCTCTCTAGTGAAACGGAATCACTGATTCCCCTCAATCCTCTCACTGCCCTGAATGCCAAGAACCACATTTCTGCAAGTGATGAGACAATGGGGCTTCAAAGAAGTGGACGGACAGAGGGACAGTGAGTCAGGCTAAAAGGTTCCAGTCTGGAAACAGGGGTTTGGTGTGTGCTGGATCAGAGCAGGGTTGGACATAATCATTTCAAATAACAACCAAACAAACACATGAAAGCAGGTGTCATGTCTTGGTACCTGGTGTTCCTGAGCTTGGACACAGCCCCTCCTCGAACCTTGCCCTCAATCTCCTCCGCAGAGTGGACACGGACTTCCAATGAGACTTTCAGCTGAGACATCTTGATGGCCATGTAGACTGCAGGAAGCGTTTTAAACCTCTCTATCGGGTTACGAGAAAACTCCACAAACGCTCTGTTCACAGGTTTAAGCAAAAAGTAACTTCATCATCAGGCATCTGAGGAATTAGAATCACCTGCACATTCATCCCTCCCAGTAATCTGGTAGCATAGTGGTGACTAATTGGGCTGCTAATCTTACGGTCAGGAGTTCAAAGCTACCAGCTGTTCCACGGGAGAAAGATGAGGCTTTCTGCTCCCGTCAAAATTTGCAGACTCGGAGACCCTGTGCAGGGTCACTGTAAGTCGGAACCGACTCCACAGCACATCACAACAACAACAGCAGCTAGTCAGTAAGAAGGACTTGAGGGAAACTTACTCATTTAAGGGAAATGAAAGTTAGAGTGACGTATATTTTTGTACTAATCATACTTCTCATGGAAACTTAAGTGTGTTTAATCCTTTCCAATTTTAAACTATGTTCATATATCTGTGGGAGTCACGGGCATGTTAACAGGATCTGGAGGAACAGAGTTGGTTCCGACTGTCTATTGTGTACAGGATCACACATCAAGTGTTACCCTGTGCACAACAGAACGCAACACTGCTGGCCCTGCACCATCCTCACAATTGTTACGCTTGAGCCCATCTCTGCTGCCACCGTATCAATCCATCTCATTAAGGGGCGTCCTCTTTTTCGCTGGCCCTCCACTTTACCAAGCATGAAGTCCTTTTGCAGGGACTGGTCCCTGCTGGTAGTATGTCCAAAGTATGAGAGATGATGTCTAGCCATTCTAACTTCTAAGGAGCATTCTGGCTGTACTTTGTCCAAGACAGACTTGTTTGTTCTTCTGGTAGTCCATGGTACTTGCAATATTCTTCACCAACACCATAATTCAAAGGCATTGATTCTTCTATGATCTTCCTTATTCACTGCCCAACTTTCACATATTGTTGTTAAGAGCCATAGAGTCAGTTCTGACTCATAGTGACCCTGTATAGGATTTCTGAGGAGCAGCTGGTGGATTTGAACCATTGACTTCGCAATTAAGCAGATCAGTGCTTATCCTATATTGCCACACCATAAAAATACCATGGCTTACGATGGGAAGAGAGGGCATGTGCACAGGAGCGCCCACAATTGCAAATGATACCCACGGGACCTGGACCGCATGACTGGAGGATCGGAGCTCAGCCAGGAGAAGAAAGACAAGGGGAGAAAAAAAAAAAAGAGAGTGAGCTGATAAAATCTGATGAACTTGACCTATACCTATGGAGCAGCAACTCTAAAGTAGCAACAAATCCTTACAGCAAGAATCATTCCCACCCCCTCCACACACAGAGTGGACATAGATGGGCAACTTGGACATTGGATACTCAAATGGGGAGGGGGGGACTACAAAGGCAAGAAGTGACTGGCTTACAAGCTTTCAAGGGGGAACCTGGTGCTAGGGAGCATGGAGGAAGGCAGAATCTCCAGTAGGTACTATTCAATCTGTCGGGGTGGAGCTGATGAAAGGAGATACAGATGGGTAACTCGCGATACTATAGTGAATAATGCTTATCAGGACGGACTATGAGGGTTGGAAATGCAGAGGTAGAAGTTTTGTAACAAGGAAGGGAGTGATTAATTCTACAGGCTAGGAGCGGAGGTCTCTGGGGCCATCAACGGAGAAGATCCGAGAGCGGGACCCTACCCAGAGAAACAGAGATGCCTGAGGTGGAGACAGAGACGATGATGTGGAGTACTGAAGCGGCTGGGGACTTTGGATCCAGAGAGGGAAAGGGACTGTGGGCCAAAAAGCTTAGGGGGTAAGTGTAGAGGGCGGGTTTCTAAGATATACCCTTTGGTTGGTTGATGATGCATGGAGGGGATTGGAACCATGGCAATGAGATGATATACGATGGAATGAATGTAAAACTAAAGTTCTCTCATGTAAACTACCATATAATTCACAATAAAACATTAAAAAAAAAAAAAAAAAAATACCAGGGCTTAGCTCAGGCACACCTTAGTCCTTAAACTGTTCCCTTTGAGCTTGAACACTTTACAGAGCTCTTGTGCTGCAGATTTGCCTGTGCAGTACGTCATCTGATTTCTTGACTGCTGCTTCCAGAGTGTTGATGGTGGATCCAAGCAAAACAAAATCACTGACAACTTCGATCTTTTCTCCATTTATCATGGTGTTGTTTACTGGTCCAGTGGTGAGGATTTTTGTTTTCTTTACATTGAGGTGCAATCCATACTGAAGGCGGTGGTCTTTGATGTTCATCAGTATTTTAAGTCCTCTTCATTTTCAGCAAGCAAAGTTATATTATCTGCCTGTTAACAAACGCTGTTAACGGGTCTTTCTCCAGTTGTTGGTGTCGTTGTTAAGTGCCACTGAGTTGGTTCTGACCCATAGTGATCCTGCATAGGGTTTCCAAGGAGTGACTGGTGAGCTTGAACCACTGACCTTGCAGTTTACACAGCTTTGCAGACTGGTGCATTAACCCACAATGCCCCAGTACTAAGAAATATATCCAATTTCTCAGCTTATTTGCTCAGCTGGAAGACTCAATAAGTAAGGTGAAAAACCAGAACCTTGGCACACACCTTTCCTAATTTTGTTCTGTTGGAACAACTTACCTATTGGTCTATGTACATTGGTCTATGTACTCCTCATGAGTACAATGAAGTGTTCTGGAATATCCATTCGTTGCGATGTTATCCACAGCTTGTCATAATCCACACAGTTGAAAGTCTTTGCATAGTCAATAAAACACAAGTAAACATCTTTCTGGTATTCTCTGCTTTCAGTCCAAATCCATCTGACATTCCTTGTTCCACATCCTCTTCTGAACCTGCCTTGAGCCCCTGGATTTTGATGTTGGAGAAGAATATTGCAAGTACCATGGACTACCAGAAGAACAAACAAGTCGGTCTTGGATGAAGTACAGCCCTGGGCAGTTCCCTGTCAATGTACTGTTGCAGCCATTTTTTTCATTATCCTCAGAAAAATGTTACTTGCATGTGACATTAATGCTATTGTTCAATGATTTCCATATTCTGTTGGTTCACCTCTCTTTGTAATGTGCACATATATGGATCCCTTCCAATAGGTTGGCCAAGTAGCTGTCTTCCAAGTTTCTTGGCATAGATGAGTGAATGCCTCCAGTGAGTGCCTCCAGTTTGTTGAAAGATTCCGATTCACATTATTCTCGCAATTCCTGACGCTCGTTTCTCACCAGCGTCTTCAGTGCAGCTTGTATACTTCTTCCTTCAGTCCCATCAGTTCTTGATCAGGAAATGGTGCAACATCAACCGTTTCATTTTGATACAGTGTCTCTGTGTATGCCTTCCATCTTCTTTTGAATGCTTAAAAAAAAAATACTATACTAATCTTAGAATTATAACTTAAAATGTTGGAAATAATCCAAGTTGAAAATGGATTTAATACATTCTGTATGCTGAGCAAATAATCCAAGAAGCTGGGTTCTATGAAGAAAAACGTGACATCAGGATTGGAGGAAGACTCATTAACAACCTGCGATATGCAGATGATACAACCCTGCTTGCTGAAAGTAAAGAGGACTTAAAATACTGATGAAGATCTAAGACCATAGCCTTCGGTATGGATTGCATCTCAATGTAAAGAAAACAAAA